ACATCATGAGGCTTACGGCCAAGACCATGAACATACCGGGCGCGATCATGAATCAGGCGCCCTGGATCATGAAGACCCCGGGCAGCGCTGAAGTTTATCACCTAAAACTATGAATATGCCGACCACAAACATACGTTTGCCGGTCCTAAGCATGAATATGTCGAGCTAAGTATGAGTTTACCAGGCTAATCCCACGCGCACAGTCCCTAAAACAACTACAAACGCCAAAAATCATGCATTTTAACAGGAAAATGAAGAAGATAAACCACTTACTTGGATCAAAAAGTAGGATTCGGCTACGGAGTAGAAGAATCTGTGACAGAAGGTCGCGACTGGGAAAAATCTGGAAGAACAACAGCAGAGAGAGCACAAAGAATAGAAACGTGTTATGGGGCCCAAGGTTCCTATTTATAGTGATGACGTGGAATACCAAACGTCACCTCGGGCAACCACGGAGTCTCTCTCCCCGACGAGCTGCTCCCAACGCAATGATGACCCTATCCCCATAGGGTGGCGACACAGTTCCCGAAAGATACCTCGTATGCTCGACAGACGCGCCCCGGTGAGGATCCTCCAGGCATCCACCGCGGAAAATGTCTCCGAGCACGGCACGAGGAGGCCCTCGAGGGCCTACACCTCTGTCCCGGGCACGAGACTTCGATGAGGAAACGACCTGAGTTCAAGCCATGGCTCCTCACAAAGGAACCACGACTTGGGGGGCTCCTGTTCTGGACTGGGCCCGACAGGCCCAAAAGCATTGCAAAGGCCCAGTCCAAACGGACTTACAAGGGCCACGCCGACCAAAGAGTACGACCGTGCCTGACTGATAGTCGCAGGCTCGACAGCACACCTCCAGCTCGACATGCTGCGATCCAGCACCACATCCTGAGGTCCAGCTCGACACTACCTCAAGCACCCCCAGCTAGGGCAGACTCAGTCCACTGTTCCCCCAACGATACCCCGAAAAGACCGCATCTCCGTCCGCCCGCACTTCACGCAGAACATCCAGGAAGGGGACCACGTGCGGGTCCCCACTACGCACGTAGAACCTGGCAGTTCCTCCATTGGGCCAAACCTGCCCGGCCCAATGAAGGAACCTTGGCCCAGCGCTGGGGGCTATAAATACCCTCTGTTTCCAGAGGGTCAGGTATTGATCATTCTAACCTTACACTTGCTATTATCTGCTCGTACTCCTACTTACTTCAGCATCGGAGTGCCTTGCAGGTACCCCCCCCCCCACTTCGTTCAAAAAGCTTTCTGCTCGGAGCCAGCCGTGACGGTCCATTTCTGATCAGGTCAGATCAAAAACTAAATTAAGAACTTCAAATAATGGAAGCAAGATTGTTTGATCCAAGTATTACACAAATTATAAGCCTAAGCACTAACGGTGTAGTAGTTCCCCGATGAAAGAATAAATTGCACAAAAACTTGGAAGCCTTGAAAAATGAATGCTAGGTCTTTTATATAGTGAAAACTAGTGGAAGTTACTTCATAATTCATGTGAGAAGTAGTGGAGATAATGGGAAGTTGGAGAAAGTTGAAATAGTGGGAAGTTGGAGAAAGAGGAGATAATGAAAGACCAAGCCAAGCCATTTTGTCACTGATGCGAAAATGAATGGACGAAGAACGCCATTCCCTTGTGGAGAACGCCACCTTCATAAAATGGGAATGACTTGGTCTTATGACTGTTGGTGCATGTATACGTCATGGCCACCCCTATGGTGAACGCCATGGTGACCGCCTTGAGTGCAAACTGCTTCATTCTTTCGTTTTTCGTCCATTTTTCTTTGTTTCTTCACATGTGACTCTTAAATGGCTAAATACCTGGGAAAAAATACCAACATAATAGTGGAAATATAAAACAAAATGAAAATAAAATATGCATAAATCGAGTCAAATAAAAGGTGTAATTTGGTGTCATCAAACTCTCCCACTTGAACGGTTGGTTGTCCTCAAGCAAAATGAAAGTAAACAGTGATACTTGATAGCTATTCTAGGCTTAAAGACTTTAATTTGAACAAAGTTATGTCAATAGGTATTAATTCACAAAAACAAGGGCATTGTAATAACATATTTCACATTTTTGTGGGCATAAGTCTCTTTCATATACAAACCAATCTGAATCATGTCATTATGCTTAAGCCTAACTTACTCATCCCATTTTTTCATCCTTTTTCATTCAGGCGCAATCACATTAATCATGCTATTCGTACACACTCATAGTAAGGCGACCGATTAGTGATTTTGATCCTTTTCACAGGGTTCTGGTACATAAGTGGTGTAACCCCTTTTTTTACCCACTTGTAGATGCGGGGAATCAGACTGTAATCCGCCCTACCAAGTTCAGCACCAGAGAACCTCTGAACCAACTAACGACGAGTTTTATTCTATTTTTGAGGTTCCACAACCGTTGGGTTAAGTGGCCAGGTGATGGTCACCTAACTTAAAAGGTGCATTCCTTATTTTCAATTGATTATAGCAGAAAAATTAGGATCATTCATTTATGTTCATCGGCTTCTCTACGTAGAGCATGCTTAAGATGGTTCCGACTACTAAAATAAACTACTAAATGATTTATTTAGGGGTGAGAACTTAAGGCTAAGGAATAATAGTTATTCAGATCGATCTCTATGATTAAGAGACTTACGGTGTTAAGACGATACCTACATTTTACGATATTTCCCAAGTCTCTATAACCTATCCTAAGCTTGTCTAATAGCCTACAAATTTAAAACAAACACTGTTTCTTTTTGCTAAAATTTTTGGTATGGCACAATAAAAGAAAATTTTTAATAAACAACGGAAACCACACATAAAAACTCGACATCACATGCAATGACTCGATAAAACAAATGAAAGAAATACTAGAAAACAATAAATATAACTAGAAAGCAAGAAAAAGGTAAAGTTCCTCTCCCACACTTAAACCGAACATTATCCTCAATGTTTTAGTAAAAGTGGAAAAATGAATAAGAACTTGATCAATGCCTGTCGTAGTAGTTGCCTGCATGCAACTGATAGGTGTCAAGCGATCGATATCTTTACTTTCTACAAACTCAAACAAAAGCAAAAACATTAAATTAAAAATCTGTGGGTTGGCTCCCACGCAGCGCTTCTTTTAACGTCGGTAGCTTGGCGGTTCAGGAGTGTACTCATGGAGGTTCTTTCAAGAATGATTCCTCTACTAAAATTTTAATAATCTTCGGTTTCTATGGCCACTTATCGAGCCATCTCTCATATCCCTCACCTTTTCTTTTCTTTCTTATGTGGAGTGGTTCATTTTTCTGAGCTTGTGGAGGTGGTTCAGGCTCTATCCTGAGTATCATCTTTTCAAGTTTGGGTTTAGTCCTTTCATCCACCATCTCAAAGGCTAACATTCCCCTCTTAACACTAATGGTTTCCCTGATTTTATGGTCATCTAATGTTCAACTGCAAAGATATCTTCCTAAGCATTTGTTTCAACAAACCCCCAAGATCAACAGCCTGCAACATAAATTTCAAGACATAAAGATAATCATTCAGATCATGAACTCTCGATCCGAGAAATCACTTTTTCAGCATCCAATTCATGGAAATGAGCAGAGTGATAACGAGGAACAATCCAAATTTCAAAAGAAAATGAAGCGGCATAAGGCACCGGTGAAAAGAAGTAGGTAGAGGAATCAATCAAAAGATACTCACGTTGAATTTCACAAACACGACATTTCCCGGTCTCATCATAAAAATCCTTCATGCTTCCAAGGCGGGCGAAAACAATTGGCAGAATAACCGACATGGCTATCATTTGACTATGGGAATGAGTCATTGATGCACCGCCTGTAGCACCATGGTTCTTAAACACCTTTAAAGATTAATGAACTCAAGTTATACATGATAATTACTTGAAACAGGTGCCAAAGAAAGAAAATATAATCATGCAGAATCAGTGTTATCCACTGAGGTTCCTGAAAAATAGATGTTGGTTCAAATTTCGACATACAAGAGTGATACAAAACTAAGATCAACTCTAATCAGCAAGAATACAGTTTGAATTTCAATATCATACATATTTTGTTAGTCGAATAAGACCAAACAGTGTCAAGGTTAACCAATAAAATACCGATTTTAAGGACTTATGTGATAACTTTTGTTAGTTCAGCAACTAGTAACAAAAGGGAAAATACAAAAAACCGCAAACAATGAATACTATATTTGTTTCAGCCGTTCGGCCATGTGTTACTACGTCCATGAATTCAGAACATTTGTAGGTCACTATTATTACTTGAATGAATTAGGATTTTATTGTTACAAGTCCAGATTACAAAAAAACTCCTAAGTCGTATCAAAATACAAGAATAACCTTGAACAACACCATAGGGGCTATCAACTCCCCCACACCAAAATCATGTATATAATGCACATTTATATTACAAACAATGACATCATATATGATACCAAAACTAACACGTCTACATGTCTACGTTAATAATAATTTAAAATTCAAAAAAAAAGTGAAGTGATTGGATGTATGACATAGCCCAATGTCATGCTAGAGTTCGGATCTAACACATGTCAGTCACTAAACAAAGTAAGACTCTCCATAATCGGGAGTTTCTAGATTTACGCAGTCAACACATCGACCATAATAGGTTTAATATTGGATCATGTTGTCAAATAGCAGGTATAACAATATTTACTATTGCAAAATTTGAATAAATTGATATTGTTTTATTGTCTGTGTTCCACAACTAACAACTCTATATTAAGCATGAATATCAGCTCAGTTGATAGCCGTGCAGATACATCTTGATCCAGAGTAAAAATCATTACTGTGATAAATTAACTAAAATCACCAACTACTAAAAATAACTACTTCTTAACCATGCAAATTAAGTTTATTTATCTCTAAATAACAAATTGAAAAACAAAAAAAAAGTATTTTTGAAACGAACCTGAACGTATTTGATAGAGCTTCGCTTAACAAGTTCTCGAATTTTGTTCGTATAAGCAACAAAAGCCTCTCAAATGTCCTCCATGGACAAATCACAAAGTTGAACCGAATGAACCAGAGTTTCAATAGCAACATCATGAAACCCAAACCCATCCAAAATCGAACCGGAAGACACATCAACCGGGTCCACGAGATCGCATGAGAGAGTCGTGTAAAGATTTTGAATGACCCGAATCTTCCAGTTTGGGTCATCGGGTGGGACCCTGAAGATTTCGGGTGCACATTGGTGTTCGTTTCTGACGCAGAAAGGGCATGTGGTGTTGGAATTAGGGTTTGGTGATGATTTGGATTTGAAGTCGGAGGGTTGTTTTGATCTTGCTGGTGAGAATATTACCCAGCGGTTGGAAATTGGGTCTTTGAGGAGTTTTGGGTTTTGGGTTTGTGAGGTTGAAAATGACATGGTTTTGGGTTGTTTTTGTTCTTGTTTGGATGGCAACTTATGAATAAGCAGTTTCATACACTTGCATAAACTATACAACATATCTAGAAAATGGGTGATGCACGGACATGGTAAAAATGTTTTGCATGGTCAATCAATTACGATCATGAATCCAGTTAAGTCAGACTGTCATTTAAAAAAAAATTATATGACATGGTAAAACGATATGTTTTTATTGGATGATAGTGTGAAATTTTTGTACACTGTCAGTGCATCTTCTTTAAACTCTTTGATAACTGATGTTTTTGAAAAGTTACCAACTCTATTTGATATATGATGTTCATCAACTAAACTAACTTGTCACGAGTATTATTATAACTCTTGATGTTGTATCATGTGTGCAACATGCATAAGTATCTCACGTGAGAGACTTGTTTTTTTCTTCTCAAACGAATAAGGGCCATTATATTGGGTCCCTACACTATCGCTCAATGTACTATCACACACCATATCACCACCGAAAATCATATGTCACCATTGTTTTTCATATGTCAGCATTTTCATCTTCTCTCTCCCACCTCCATCTCACCTTCATTTCTCCATCAATTTCTGTAACTTGAGAAGAGAAATTTCTTCATCAATTTATCCATTTTCATTACTTCCTTTTTCGGTTCCCTTCTGATTTATTCTTTGTTTCTTCCATTTTCGATCCTCAAGTCTTCCATTAACGATTTAGGTCTGAAGCAAGTTTTTGTGAATCATAAAGGTAACTCACAGATATTGAATAGAAGATGGATGATGGTGACGCTATTGGGCATGAAGTAATTCAAGTTAACTCTGTAAGTAAAATTTTTGAACAATCTTATCTTGTGGTTGTAACCCATTTGGTTGTTGATTTATTGATTTAGTTATTTATATTTTAGGAAGCACTCAATGAGATTTTACATGAGAATGGACGTGTTAATGTTGACGGTGAACTGGATTTCGTTAGTGATGAAAGCTTGGATATTATTGAATATGACAACGCAATTGTTGATGAATATTCTGAGTTTGAAGAAGTTGAATACGATGATGAAGATGGGGATGAAGATGGTGAATTTGATGGTGGTGAATACGTTGACGAGATCAATTCTGGTGATGTTGGTGAACACGAATATTGCAATACAAATGCAAACAATGATGAAATTAACTGGGAAGGTTTGGAATCGAGTTCTGACAGTTTGAATGAATCGATATTTTTAGATCAAATTCCATGCAAATCACTTGTTGTTGACGATATTAACAACATTGCAAAGATGGACATGTTTAAATTACAAAATGATGATGTTTCTAAGCTGCAATTTGGAAGTCTGGAAATTGCTTACACATTTTACTGTTGGTTTGCAAAGATGAACGATTTTGCGGTCCATAAAGGTCAAGTTATAAAAAAAAGAATGGATATGTTATTTAACAAACATTTGTTTGTAACCTTGTAGGATTTATGTTAGACAAAGTAGAGCATCACAAGCATGGTCTGAGGCATAAAACTCGGTATGGATGTGTAGCAAAATTTGGGGTTCATATCGATATAATTTCACACTGTTGGTATGTCATAGTTTTTACCTTTGATCACAACCATGAAATGTTAAAGGAGAAGCATTGTAGGTTGTTGGCGGGTAATAGGAAGCTTAGTAAGTCAGATAAGATACAAATTAAGAATTGTGGGAATGCCGAAATCAAAGAAACTTAAATGTTTGGTTCATTCGCAAATGTTGTCGGGGGGTATGATAAGGTAGGATTTTTGAAGAACGACGTACATAATCAAATTGCAAGACAAAGGAAAAAGATGTCTTCTGATGTTAAAGGTGTTGTTAGGCATCTTATTGATCTTTGCGTTAAAGATCTATTGATGTTTGTTGCACACACGGTGGGTGCGGATGGAACGTTGCAAAACCTATTTTGGAGCGATGGGGAAAGTCAAAAGAATTATGAGATGTTTGGTGATGTGCTTGCTTTTGATGTTACATACAAGAAAAATAAGTACATGTGCCCCTTTGTTGTTTTTTTCTGGGGTTAAGCACCATAACCAGATGATTATATTTGCCACTACCATAGTTTGAAATGAGGTCGAAGGGACATATGTATGGTTGTTAGAGCAATTTTTGGTTTCAATGAAAGGTAAGACACCAATATCTATAATAAAGGGCGATGATGTTGCTATGAGAAATGTAATCAAGAATGTTTTTCCCAACAGTTACCATAGGTTATATGCATGAAATCTCCTTAGAAATGTAATGTCCAATATTGGAAATCCCAATTTGATCCCTATTTTCAAAAAAATGCATGCTTAGTGATCACAATGTTTGGAAATTTGACAATTCGTGGAATGAAATGGTAGACGGGTTTGGTTTAGAAGAGAATTGTTGGATCAATGAATTTTACCAGAAAAGGAAGATGTGGGCAACAACTCATATTTATGGAAATTTCTTTGCAGGAATAAGAACGACTTCACGGTGTGAAGCATTTCATAGCCATATGGGTCAGTGTCATACCCCAAATCGGCCCAAATCGGCCATACTAATTCCTAATCTTTTATTCCTAAGAATTATCTTTTTTGCTTTATAATATGTTCATGAGGTTTAGTTTTAAAAGGGGGGGGGGGGGGGGGGGGGGGGGGGTTAATAGGCTTTTCTAAATCAGAAAAGCCCATGTAGATTTTTCAAGCCCATTACGTTTTATCCATTTAAATTTGAAAGGGGTTTTGCATTGTTAAAAGAATCTTAGGCTTTTCTAAATCAGAAAAGGCCCATGTAATTTTTGAAAGCCCATTTGGGTTCTCTTATAAAAATGATATTTAAGCTCATTTAAGTTATAGAATGGGGTGTATCAAATAAAGAGGGGTTCACATTATTAAAGAAATCTTGGGCCATTTCTAAGTCAGAATGGCCCATTTAGGTTGAAGGGTGCGTGAAACAATTTATTTTTCTAAAGGAGCTAAAAAATTAAGCAAATAGGACCATAAAAGTTTTTGGACGGCCTACTAGTTTTTATAAAAGGATATGTTTTGTTTTGGAGCGTACTGGCCCATTCAGAGTTTGTTTATAAGCCCATAGTGCATTTTTTGAAAGCCCAATCAACTTCTTCGCATTTTTTGCTATTGACCGAGTCAACCCTCCTTTTATAATTGTATTTTCATTATTATTATTATTATTATTATTATTATTATTATTATTATTATTATTATTATTATTATTATTATTATTATTATTATTATTATTATTATTATTATTATTATTATTATTATTATTATTATTATTATTATTAACACCAACAACATTACTATTATTAACATTATCCAAATTTTGATTTAATTAAAAATCATGTTTGTTTTAATTGGAAAAAAACGTTTGACAAAAGAGAGGCCAATTGAAGTCGCATACCCTTACAGGACCAAGCCCAAAACCAATCCAACAAACATTCACTTTATCAATCAATTGGAAAACACATGCTTTAAGTGTTTCAAACATTTAATATACGAATTAAAAGAGATGAATGATTGTTTTACAACGAGATCAAAATGGATATTGCATTCAAAGTTCTTCCAGAAACATAACAAATCAATATATGAACGAAATCAAAACGAATTAATACAGATCTATAGTAAAACTTAAAACAAAATTAAATATATGCATAAACTAATTAAAAGTTTACACAAATTTACAGACAGAATCAAAACAATTTCCTAATCTGATAAAACACTAATTGAAACCTAATTCAATTTACATACAATTTTGTCTGTTTCCTAAAGAACTAATCTACTATAAAAAACTAAAAATAAGAACAAAAAAGGAGGACAGAGAAATTGTGACATAAAAAAGGGAAAATTTACAGAGGTTGCAATAAAGGAAGACGAAGTTACAGAACGAGGAATTCTCGATCCAGTTTCGCCGCTGTTAGCCCACAAAGTCACCACTCCAACCTAGGGTTTCAATATCTGAAACCCTAGCCCCCTTCAAAGTTCCACCGAGCCGTTATCATCCTCACCACCGTCCTACCTACGAAAACGAAAGAAGGAGAAAAGATTAGAGGGCGAGATCGGAGCTCAGAGAATTGAAAAGACCACAGTGAGAAACCTAGCTCTCAATTTTTCTTCCTTCGAGATTTTTTGGTTTGTCTTTTGGGTTGGGGTTTTGATTTTGATGGATACGAGGATCCGAGTAAAATAGTGTCACAGTCGGAGTTTGTTCTAGGGTTTTGTTGGTGTGGTTGTTAGGGTATAGGAATGAGAGAGAGAGAGAGAGAGAAATAAACAGAGAGAAGGATGACCCAAAACGCTACCGCCGGAACAGGTTGGAGGCGGCTCTGTTTAGGGTTTGCGAAAGAGAGAAGAGGAACCAGGGACAGAAGGAGAAGAGGAAAAGTAATAATCAATAAAAATTGTTTTGAGAAATGAAATATATTAAGTCTTATAATCCTATGCATTCCACCCTTTTAATCATTACCATACTCCATTGTCCATCACTACATGATCTCAATCCAACGCTCATAAGTATGCGTATCCATGGCCTTACGGTATACCATCTGTATGCTATCCAAGCAACCTCCCAACCTTCTGGGTTTGGCCCACGTCTAAGTACACTCAACCTTTTTTTTTGTTTTGACTAACACTTAGAAAAAACACACCCCCAGGCCAAAATGGGCCAAGTCCAAAATCTGGACTTGGGCCCTGGCTCTTTACACTCCTCATTTTACTATGTAACTAAAATTGACACCCCCTACGCTGCTGGGCCAAATCCAATATCTGGATTTTGGCCCATGTTATTAACACCCTCTTTTTTTACTATTAATATATTTACACCCCCTGCATTTTTTTAATCTATTTATTTTATTTATTATATTATTTTTATAATTTTATATTTTCTTATATTTTTATTAATTATAATATTATTTTTTTATATTTCTTATTTTAAATACATTTAATATATTTAATGCTATTATATTTTTATTATCATAAAATCAAATATACTATTTTTTTCCAAACT